CATTGTGCACATGCTTATCAAGTCAGGTAAAGTGAATACAGTTATGGTGCTCTTTGACTTTTTCCTCTAGATTGAATCATTTCTTTTATTGTTTTACTCAATATACTTTGCTCAAGATAGATTTTATAAACATTTTGTTCTGTCAAGTGTATGTGCTACACCCTATCCAATTGGTTATTTTCCAGGAGTTCATGTCGACACCCCTGATGCAGAACACATGACTGCCTTGCATTTAGCTGCACAGCGTGGACTAGCAGAAGTTGTCAATCTGTTGCTGGAGGGAGGTGCTAGGGTCAACAACAAAATGAATGATAAGGTTGGTTTTCTGATTTCCCTCTCTGCTTTTGTATTTTGTCCTTGTGGACTTACCTACCCGTCTACCTACCCACTCACCCACTCACCTACTGACCTACTGACCTACCTACCTACCTACCTATCTACTCACCTGCTTGCATGCTTACCTACCTACCTACCTATCTACTCACCTGCTTGCTTGCTTACCTACCCACCCACCTACCCTCCCACCTGCCTGCCTGCCTGCTTACCTATCTACCTATCTACCTCCCTACCTACCTCCCTACCTACCTATCTCCTTACCTATCTACCTACTTATCTGCCTATCTACTTACATACTTGATACTTATGGACAGACTTACATACATACATATATGCATATATACATATACACATATACACTTATACACATATACATAGATATTTACTTACCTACCTGCTTATGTACCTACCTACCTACCTATCTAAACACCCACTCACCTATCTACCTACCTTACCCACCCACCTACCTACCTTACCCACCCACCTACCTACCTACCTACCTACCTGCCTACCTGCCTATTTGAAATTTTATACTACTCATTGAAATTATTAGCAAAATGTATTAGTAACCCTTTGCCTCTCTTGATTCCAGCACACTATGCATCTTAGTAAAAAAAAATTGGCATTTGTATTTTCAGAGTTCCCCCTTACACATCGCCGCTTCTCGAGGCTACACGGACATCGTGGAAACCTTGCTGGACCGAGGGGCGAAAATTGACTCCCTGGACAGTTCTGACCGCACACCACTCATCCTGGCTGTCTCAAGGTCTCATTTCAAGGTTGTACAACTCCTGCTCAACAGAGGGGCCAAGGTCAACATAGAAGAAATTCATGGTACCTAATATATATAGCTCTTAGTAATGACTAATATTGGATTCTTTCTCTCTTTCTTTCTGTCTCTCTCTCTATTCTCTCTGTCTGTCTGTTTCTCTCTCTCTCTCTCTCTCTCTCTCTCTCTCTCTCTCTCTCTCTCTCTCTCTCTCTCTCTCTCTCTCTCTCTCTCTCTCTCTCTCTCTCTCTCTCTCTCTCTCTGTTTCTCTTTGTCTGTCTGTCTGTTTCTCTTTCTCTTTGTCTGTTCGCCTCATCTGTCTGTCTCTCTCTGTGTGTCTAATATGTGTTTCTCTTTGTCTGTCTGTTTCTTTCTCTCTCTCTCTCTCTCTCTCTCTCTCTCTCTCTCTCTCTCTCTCTCTCTCTCTCTCTCTCTCTCTCTCTCTCTCTCTCTCTCTCTCTCTCCCTCTCTCTCTCCCTCTCCCTCCCTCTCTCTCTCTCTCTCTCTCTCTCTCTCTCTCTCTCTCTCTCTCTTGTCTCTATTTCTTTCTCTGTCTTTGCCTCTTTGTTTCTCTCTCTGTTTGTTTCCCTCTCTCTTTGCTTGTCTCTCTGCTTATTTCTCTCTCTTTGCCTCTTTGTTTCTCTCTCTCTTTGATCTAAATCTCTTTCTCTTTCTATCTCTTTTTTTAGGGGGGTGGGGGGCAGTATGGGGTTAGTGTATTTTTCCATAGAGGGATTGAAAGGATGTATCAATTTTTTTTACTACTTTACTATGGAGGAACTTACCTGTTTGGTATGATTGTCTCCCATTACTGCATTGAAACTACAAAACTCTTCTGTGTTTGAGGCATTATATGTAGACTTTTTATATAGAGTAGTTTTTTTCTTTATTATTCTCTTCTATTTATTTTTTTTGTGCAGCGGTTTATACATGACTTTCTAACTTTGCTGCATCAGTCTGTTGAAATATGTTTAGTCACAGATGAAGGGATACTTTTATAAAGGTTATTTTCCCTTGTCCCTTCTCACCTCTTCTCCATTATAAAATTATTTTATTGAACAAGTTGGATCACATAATCACATATACTGGCATATGACTTTCAACTTTCCATTGTAAAAAATGTATAAGAATTTTACCTCAAAGTAACATCATGACTTCTGCAGGGTACACACCCTTGTGCGAGGCTGTCTGGCACAAAGACCTCAAGCTTGTGCAAATGCTACTTACTGCGGGGGCAAAAGTTACCCAGTCACACTACCTTCTTCATTATGCTGTACTTCACAGGCACTATCAGGTAAGTTGTTCAGGATATTTGCACATAAAGAAGATTAGGGTTTGATGAATTATATACATTTGGTAATCTGAATCCATTGTTCTTGTTATTCTACTTTTTATTATCTCTGTTGTTGTTATCACCATTATCATCATCATCATCATCATCATCAGTATCAATGAAAAGGACAATATGGGTTGAAGACTGGTCACTCCCATTTCCAGGTAAGTTGAAATAGAAATGAAGACTCATGTATATTTTAATCAAATTTACTTTCACAGCTCGCAGAACTACTCCTGGGTGCAAGGTGCATTGTGAACCTGAGAGACGACAATGGCGATACTCCGCTTATCATAGCTGCACGGACATGTCAACCCTCTGTTATGAAGCTCTTGTTGAAACATGGTAAGTAAGGAGAGGTCAGGCTATATCATTGGGTTTCATCCATTTTATTTTCTTCTTAAGGTTTGACATTAATATCATTATTATGATATCAACTACCATCTCCCCTCTCTCTTTTTGTCTTCTTTCTCTATCATATTTTTTATCACATCCTCACAATCCTCTTTCTCCTTTTCCTCCTCCTCATCACCAAAGTTTGATTACCAGTTTCTCTCTCAGTGAGATGAGATGAGATGGCTAACTAAATTAACCACATGCTGCTGGGAAAAATGCTGTGATCAATTTTTGTTTTTATGTGAAATGTCTCTGCACATAGATGGCTCTGCGAGTGCTTAGCCTCAAAGGAATCAGTTAGTAGACCTTGTGACCTTACCTGATTTCACCTTTCCTAGAATTGGTGAGAAAAACATATTTTTTTACTAGTGCAATGAATATCGATGGTGTTATTTTTATTATAGACATTATAATTACTCTAATGTTATAGACAGCAATACAAGATAGTGTAAAACATTTTTGTAAATCAAGGAAAATGGGTAAACAGGCAAGACAGGGAGTACTCGTAATTGGCTCATTGGTGACTTGGTACAAGTGCAGCCATCTATGTGTAAATTTGTAAAGTAAGCTCAAAGTGGGCATGGCATGTATATACATGCCATTCCCATTGGAATTGGGTTAAACACTCCATAAAAACATTGTGTGTGTATATATATATATATATATATATATATATATATATATATATATATATATATATATATATATATGTATATATATTTATGTATATATATATATGTATATATATATAAGTGTATATATATATAAGTGTGTATATATATATATATATATATATATATATATATATATATATATATATATATATATATATATATATATATATGTGTGTGTGTGTGTGTGTGTGTGTGTATATATATATATGTGTATATATATATATATATATATATATATATATATATATATATATATATATATATATATATATATATATATATACACACACACATATATATATATATATATATATATATATATATATATATATATATATATATATATATATATATATTATATATATGTATATATATGTATATATGTATATATATGTATATATGTAGATATATATATATATATATATATATATATATATATATATATATATATATATATATATATATATGTATGTATATATATATATATATATATATATATATATATATATATATATATATATATACACACACATACATATATGTATATATATATATATATATATATATATATATATATATATATATATATATATATATATATATATACATACATACACACACACACACACACACACACACACACACACACACACACACACACACACACACACACACACACACACACACACACACACACACACACACACATACATAGCTTGAGAAGACTTATCACACAGATTGACATTCAATCCCCTTTTCCACAGGTGCTAATGCCAACTACCCCAATGGCTTAACGGGCACAACACCACTCCATGAAGCCATTGCAACACCGGATTCCCTATTCAGTGATTTCTGGGTGATGTTTTCCCTTCTGCGCTCACATGGTGCCAAGCTTGACATAGAGACAGTGACGGCAGGAGACACACCTCTCTACCGGGCCTTGCTCATGGAGAAGAATAAAGTTGCTGCTCTCCTCATCAGACAGGGGTAAGTGCTTGGGGGGGGGGATACGAGGGTATTTAGTCAAATGTACGTTGAGGGATTGGATTTGGTTGGGTATTAGATTAATGGGGTTGAATGTACGGTGACACGCTGAGAGGGAATATGCAGCAAATTGAATGTTGTTGTAGTTGAGATTGAATGTCTGTTAGCTTATTTTGAGGGCATGTATGTTGGGTCAGTTAAGTTCAGTGAGATTTGTAAAGGCAGGTTTCATCTGGCCCACGTCTTCTGAGCTTATGATTACCTCTAGGCACTTCAGTTTCCATGGAGAAAGTCTAGCAGTATTGGTAGGTGGTCCTGTCTAAGAAAGCATGCTGGTCCTGTGCTCACTGGTCCTGTGCTGTTAGAATTTGTGGCTCATATTGTATGCCATCTATGTGCCATTTGGCCAAGGGGGTAGTTCTCACTTTGTTCTGTATATTTAGAGCTTTTGACTTGGTTAATTAACCCATTGCTGGCGAGTGGCACGTACATACATGCCATCCCCACCACCGCACTGCCTTCATTTGAGATGTTGACTTTTTCTTTTTATCATTTTCATAGACTATGTCCATGGTAGAGGTGTAACCAGTAGCTACCTTCTGAGTGGATCCATTACTTTGAGTTATTTTCAAACAACTCATGATTAAGTTTAAGACTCTTCATCAGTATTAGGTCTCCTTAGAAAGTCTCTCTAAGTGTAGAGGATTGCTAGAACATCTGTAGAAGTAATAATCTTGCACCCCATGGGAGTTGGTTGTCAAGTATATTGACCATCAGGAAACTGAATGTAGCTAGACTCAGGACCCCATCCTGAAGTGTCCCATTCTTAACCCCTTCCTGACGGGTCACGCCACGAGGCATCAAAACAAACCGCTCAATCTGTGGTGTGCAGCTGTACACCATGACAGCGTGCCAAAGTGCTAGGAGCCGGTGATTCGGCTTGATGTACCTAACTCCCATGCTCAAATCTGGTGCATTGCCATTGATCTCCAGAGCGTAGATTTTTTTTTTTATATTCTTCACCCGTCATCAAGGGGTTAAAGAGTTCGAGACCCAGGAACATGTATGGTTAGCAGCATTTAGTTATCAGTGATTTATTGTATTGTTATTCATAGTCGGATGTATGTTAGTTCATTGAGTGTAAATACCATAATTCACATGTGAAAGCTTCTTTACACGTCACAAGGGTCAGTAATTTTTCTTCTTAGTAAATTTGTGTCCCATTACGGCAAAAAAAATCTTTTCAAATTCTTTACTCATTTTTTCCCATCAAAACTCCTTTTACCTCTTTAATAGTGATCACAAACATCCAGTAATTATTATCCTCTAAGAACCACAAAACAGGTATTATTTGTCTGGGTTTTACTTAGGCAAATTTTGGTCAAAGTTGATAGCTATCATTTTAACTGTTGTGTTGGAATGAAAAAAATTGCCTTGAATACTGAACTGTATTCATGTTGACAAATGTAGCAAATTTATGAATGAGAATGAATATCCCCACAATACAATGTATTTAACTGGTTTCAAATATTGCCAGAAATACATGTATATCTGACAAAAATATATTCAAAACCAGCTAAATACATCTCTTGCATTGTAAAGATATTTATTCTCATTTATTCCTTTTTTTGTTTACCTTGAATATATATATATATACAGAACACATAGAATCTATTTTTATTTTTCTGTTTATTCATTTTTCTTCATCACATAAAACAATAAAATATGCATTTAGATATATTTATGATTATCTAAACAAGGAAAACGAGACTGTGATTGCCTCAAGCATAGGAGGGCCTACAAGGAGGGTGAGGGTACAGGGAATGAGATTGCAAGTGTGGCTGAAGGAAACCTGCCAAATAGTACTAGATTTATTAGCAGACACTACGTACGCCACAATTGAAAAAGGTTCTGGAAAATTCCCACCCAATTTTTGACAGGCCTTCCGCAATTGTAGCAAATAAGTACACATTTTTTTTTGTAATTTGCCATAATCATATCAAAAGGCTCTTTCAGGGTTAATACAATTATGAAGCTTGCTAACATTATTCCTCCTTCTCCCCAAGATGCAATGTAAACCACCACACCCCAGCAGCAACCCCAGACTACCTGCACATGACAGCTCTGAGAGGTCATGCTCCTCTGGCAACACTGCTGATACTGGCAGGTTTCAAGCTATGGCAGGCACAGTGGCTGATGGAAAGCTCCACACCTGGATCACTCCAGTCACGACTAGCTGTTGTAAGGTAGGGAGATAGACATGTTGAATTTATATTGAAATATTCAATATTTTTAGGGATGGATTTGTCTTATTGTGATGGTTCATAAGATGTGATATTTATTCTTTATTTTGTTTAATTGATTGAGTATTTTGAGAACATTATTGCTAAGGCTCTCTCATATCTACTGTGTTAATTTATTCATTATTGGAATACATTTCTTTTCTCTATCTTCTTCATCCTTAACCCATTCGCCCCACATGGCAAGAATAGATGCCATGCCCACTTTGATACAAGTTTATTTATTGTATTTACACAGATGGCTCCACAAGTTGTTAATCACCAAATAGCCAGTTATCAAGAACTACCTATTTCACCTGTTTACCCTTTTCCTTCACTTTAGGAAGGTTTTTTTTGTATCATTTAATTGTCTAAAATATTCTAATGACAATTCAATAATCCTAACATCAGTAACAATAATAACAGTATCAATAGCAATGGTATTAATTTTCCCACCAATTCAATGAATGGGAAAATCAGGATCGGTAACTAGGGCCTACTGATAGACTCCTTGCCGGCCGAGCACATGTGGAGCCATCTGTATGTAACAAAATTCACCAAAAACTACAGGGGACAGAACATAAATCCGGGGCAAATGGGTTAATCTTCTGCTTCCTTTTCATACTTATCATTTTGCTGTTCTTCCTCTCTTTCGTTATTAACCCAAATGCTTCTGCCTAAAAACCTAAACTCCTACATAAACATGGTAGTATGTGCCAATTCTGGGTCACTGGTGCATCTACACCTTCAGCTCTTTCCACATCCTCTTTTTTTTTTTTTCTTCCCACGAAAAACATGTTGATTCTGAGATATTCACAATTCCTATCTTATTACATGATTGTAAAGAGAGAATGATACCTGAATCACACTTGGGTTTATCTTTATAATCCTGCCAGGTCTCAGCCTCTGACCCTTGCTGACCTTTGCCGAATCTACATCCGTCAGCGGCTGGGCGACCGGATCCAGGTTACACTTGAGGCGTCTCCCCTTCCGCCGAGAGTGATAAGGTTTCTCATGCTGGAGGATGTGGCTGAAGTTGACCTGTGATGAATTTAGAACTTAGATAATCTACGCTTTATTTATTTATTTATTTATTGTTATTTTTTTTTTTCACACAATTTTTTTTTCTTGTTATTTCATTATGGAGTAATATTACGTTCATAATTTTACTTTCCTTTCTTTATTTTCATTATTGTTATAGTTATGATTTTTAAGAGCTTTTCTTCAACAGTGATAGTAGCAGCTGCTGGAATGTTTATTTTAGGAATAAGGAGTCAGACTGTCAGTTATTCATAGCAAAAATTATGATTTAACGAAATGGTTCTGCTGTAACCTAATGCAGAAATACTCCTTTTTTGTGTATTATTTCATCTCTTTCTTTTTCACTTTCTCCTCCAATGTATGTTTTTTCCTTCTGCCATATCTTCTCATTCTTTGTTTTCTCTTTTTTCTATCATCTTCCTTATTCTTTTTCTTTCATCTCTTTTAAGCAATTCATTTATTTTCTTCTTCATTTTCATCAATCCTTTTCCTCTTTCCTCCTCACTCTCTTCTTCCTGATCTTCTCTCTCTTTTTTTCTGCTCCATCATTGAATGAACCTCATTGCTAGATTGCCCTAACAACAGAATGAGAAAAAGCAATGTTCCTAAGGAATTCAAAAGGTGCTTCATTTTGCATGGTAGGCGGGAGACACAGTACAGTGTGCATGTTTTTTGAATCTCATGTTATTTATGGAGGCCGTTTTAAGGATCCGTGATTGTTTTTAGGTATAAGTAAAGATTTTAAAGACAATGAAACTGGAGATCTTTTATAATCATATATATTTATATATATACATACACACACTAACTCATACACTGCCAAAGTTGTGTTGATGCAGTTTAACTAAAAAAAAAAAAGAAGAAAAGAAAAGCAAGACAAAAAATGAATGTTTCTTTTTTAACCGTTACCTTTCTTAGTGCATTAGCTGGCATTGGTCAATTATTATTTGCCTATACACTATTTATCACCATTAAAGATCTTTCTCTTAGTTTTAGAACAAGCTATGCCAAAGAAATTAGAAATTGCACCAGATAAAGTCATCTTCGTTATGACAACAAATAAATATTAATATATGGAAATGGACATCTGTTCATATTACAAGAGGGGGAAAATGCACCAATTCACAACCTGCAAGTTTAGTCTGATCAACATGACTTCAATATTATTAACTTCAACACTGCATTAGCTTTTAACACACAACATTCTGCCTTTGCTTTATGCACAATAAAATGCATGTAGCTAAGTTCCATTACCATTTTTGCTAAGGAAAGTTTCAAGGGATTCTTCACATGTTATTGTGACAATTATTGCTGCAGTTTTTGTGAGTAACAATGAATGGGGTGTCATATTTTGTACACTAATATTACCCTCTTCTGTTTTAATAACTAACATTGAAATGTATGACATAATTTGCTTTAGGTATAATTTTGATATTAGTGTTATTGTTACTGTTGTTGATATTTTTTTAAAAGTTATCATTATTAGCATTATTAATATTGTTTTGCTTTCTATTTCATTTTTATTATTATTTTTTTTTTTTATGGTGATGTTTTTTTTTATTTTGCTTTCTATTTCATTTTTATTATTATTTTTTTTTTTATGGTGATGTTTTTTTTTATTTATGGCATTATTATCATTATCAATATGATTATTAAAAATCATTGTATTATAATTTTTTAATATTACAGTTGTTATTTTATATGATTGCTCTGGTTATCGTTTGCAATTATGAAAGATATTCCTACTACTAACTTATTAAGATGAAGCACCATCATTTGAGAGGAAAGAAGATACAAAGATATGGAGGAACAAGACCAGAATGCACAGTTTGAAACAAAGATCACGTATATAGACTTAAGGCATATTAATGTCTTATGTTATTTGTTAGATGTTAAGTCTTAACTTTTGTTGCTGTTTATTGCCTAGTCCAATGGATTGATGTTCTTGATTCACAGTTAGCTGTTAGTTGGTGGGGTCAGAGAAATGTATATAATGTCAAGATATTTAAAATATTGAAAAGAGCCATGTAGCCTATGTGAATTAATAATTAGATAATAATAATAGAAAAAAAACACAATCTTCGACTGCAGTAGAAATTGCTCCAAAAGAAATTACCAGATATGTAAATAAAAAAGAAAGAAAGAAAAAAGTAAATAGTAAACCAAATGTTTATTGTATTTGTGGAGAAGCAAAAGAAAATTATGCAGCATTTATTTTAAATGTCACTCAACACCCATTCTCTAATTTCCTGAAGCTTTTCCAAAATGATGGTAACTGTAATTTATAGAAAATGTGGTACTACATTTCCACTGCTAATATACTATAGTAAAGAAGGTATTTTATTGATGGCATGGTACTATTTTGAGATGTTTTAGGTCTAGGGATAAAATAATTGTTTCTCCAAAATACATAGAAATGTTATAATGTATTAATAGTCAGCAAAGGTGCAAAAAGTGTTATTCAGCTCATGCAGGAAAAAACGTATTGCTTGTGAAAAATAGCATATGCCACGCAGGATGGCTTTATTAGATGGGAAAGTAGAAACGTGTAAATATGTTACGATGCCAAATATATATGGTAGTTTTGAAAGAAAGAATTATTTTGTTTTCACTTATGGCTGTGTGCATGCCGTACTTCAAATAGTTACATTAACTAGTTGAGATACTAATTTTTAAACCGAAATTTTTCAGTCAATAATAGGCCACAGTTAAAAGTCAGTGCTCCTTTTATACTGATGTCATAAGAGAATATAAAAAGTAAAACATTACACTTGTATGCTAAAAAGAGGGGTAGATGTGACATCTTGTTTGGTTATGTGAAAACATTTAAATTCATTGTATAAACTACAGTGAATACTATCACTTCACAGACAGACACATAGTTAAAATACAGAAATGAAGCAATTTTCAGTTATTTTTGTGCATGCTCATTGACTTTGGCCAGATGAAAAGACATTGTAGAAGATACTGTTTATAGTAATGAAAGAAATTACTTTCAGTAGTCTCTGTAAATTTGACTCCCATGTGATGTCACACCAAGTACAAGATTTAAAGCTGTGTTTGTAGAATGTAAGGATAGGAAGATAACTTTAGCAGAGGCAGGTAAGAATGATGATTTCGTTATGGGGAAAGCAAATTTTGATTACTGTAATTATATATTATCCAAAAACCATTATTTTAATGTCTTTTCAGTTTGTGATTGATAACTTTTTGTTTACAGGTAAGTGAACTGTGATGCCATGATTAATTTTAGTTTATATTGTTTGTCTGACAAGTTCATGAATTTCTTGTGGGCTATCCATCACAGCACAAGAACAGAGGATGAATATATTATTTTAATTAGCTGTAGGAAGAGCATTTATTTCACATTAAAAAAAATAGTTTTGACTTTTCAGGAATATTCAGTATAAGATTCTTGGTACTCTCAAGCTAGGGAACTGAGATAGTGAACAATGCAAATGAGATTCAGATAGACAGATAATTTGGGGAAATAGGCACAGAAAGGAGACAAAGACAGGAGAAGGTAGCAAGAGACAGTTAGACATGGCAAAGGGACTTATTGTAAAGGAAGATAGATGGATGGAGAGGGGACACAAAGCTGCGAAATGGTATCATACAGAGGTTTGGTAATATCATAATTATTAACCCAAAGGCCCTGGGAAAATTTTGTGTTCACTGTAGTGTTGCAGATTTGTTACCTCACTTGATTTCACCTTTCCTTGAGCTTTTTTTCTTCTTTTTTTTCTTTCTTTCTTTTCTTTTCTTTTCTTTTAACTAATGCTATCAATATCAATGCTGTTATTTTCATTACACACTTTTAAAGTACTATAGTATTATTGACATTACTAACAGTAATATGAGATACCAGGACAGACTTTTGAAAATTAAGGAAAAGGGTAAACAGGTGAGACAGGTAATACTAGTAATTGGCTCATGGGTGACTTTGTACTTGTGGAGCCATCTATGTGTAAAAACAAGTAATTAAACTTACAGTGAGCTTGGCATTTACGTAAATGCCATCCCTGGAGGCTTGGGGTTAACATGCCACAGTGATGAGAAATATACCCAATCAGTATATCATAGAGCAATCCTTGGGCCTTTTACATGAGTTGCCAACTGATGCCAAATATGCATGTCTTTTAGTTTGAGAATTAGACATGATTATTTATTTTTAATATCTATTATTATTATTATTATTATTATTATTATTATTATTATTATTATTATTAATATTAATATTGTTAGTAAAAAAGGTTTAGGTGAATGTAGGATATGATAAAGATAGAATGGGAAATTCCAAAGAATTCTGAAACACCACAGCCAGCACCTGTGCCATGTGTTCTCGAAATTGCTCAAAATTGTGTGCACTAAACATTCGTCGGATGATTTGGGCCTAACTGATATATAGCCTCTCAAAAGTAGGCTTAAAGTCGTCTTAAAGTCACCTTTTCTTAGAAATAATTGTGTGCAGGGAAATCCCATCAGGTATGGGATAATTCACACATGATATGAGAAATTTACAAAACTGTAAGAAGAAGCATTTTTATTGATTTTGTTCTCTATTTAAAAATTCAGTTTTTTTTAGTCCTTTCATTTGGTAATATCCCATAAGCTTCTTGATCTTATGGGAGAAATCTTCTCAGAATTGTTAAATTATGCATTTATGTCCATCTTAAAGTCAGATGGTTCCTGACTTCTTATTCATGAAGTGTGAGCATTAGGGATATGCCTTTCAACTGATAAAAGAATAGGAACTACTAAGTGTATGATAGTATGTCTGTCTAGTACTACAATTTGGGCTAATTTAGCGTAGGTAGAAAGGAGACTGAAGATGCTAAGACCAAATAATACATGCATTTGTAAAATGTAAGTATTAAACCAGCAGTTACAAAACTTGGTATACTGTCTAGTTTAGCATACAGTGCTCTATATTTTACTAATGATTCCTTCATACTAGGACTTGTATGGATAGCTAATATGAGCAGTTATATTGGGGGATGATAGAAGTCTTTAAAGATACATTTTCAAAAAAAGTTCAAAGATCTTTTCTGTCTTCCAAAGATGTCTTTAAGGTAAAACAAGTAAAATATCCAAGTTGTTTATTAATTGCTTATACACATGTAAATCATTCACTTGAACTTGCACTTACAAGGAATAACATGCACTGAAATCAAACCATGTACAAAACAGGCATACTTTGTACTGATGTGCCAGTGAACATGTCTGAATATAACTGCACAAGATTTTAAAGCTTAAACATACTTCAGCCCAAGGGATACTCCTGAAAATTCTTTGCTGAATAAACATGTAAAAATGTAGAAGTTCTCATTCAAAGAGTAGGTGAAAGGCTAATTTCTCATGGACTTTGTTTCACTATTTTATTGTCATTCATGGTCTCTGTTCTTGTCAAGATGGCAGATGATTTCAAATAATAATTTTCTTTTGAATTTTGTTGTGTCAGGAATTTGAGGTGTCCACGTTCAATGAGTTTGTTCAGTTTTATTTGTTTTTAAAACCATCAATTTCTGGCAAGGCAGCAGTGATTGACTGTCCACAGAATAAAAAAGACAGATTAAGAGCATTCCAGACTCTTGTAGTTCCCACTTTCAAAAAGTGAATTGATTGACATAATGACAGATATCTTATCAGAAAATATATTAATATAAAAGACAACTAGAATGTTAATTTGTCTTGGTTGTGGTGCTTTAAGGGAAATCAAGGATACATTTGTAACTGCTCTGCCTGAATGTCCTTTGAATTAAAAGCATTCAGATGTGTTTTCATTGCAAGTAAAATGTGACTGATGAGAGATACTCAGCCAACTGGCATCTTAAATCAGGGAAACTAAGCCTGGTGGATTCAAAATACTTAACACAGGGGTGACATAACTTCAAATTATGAAACATATATCAAGGTGAGTAAGCTAATATACAGGGCTTCCAAACCCTCTTTTATTTCATAGTGAAAATGCACTGTTTTACCTACTTGCACTCAGATGGGAGAGGGAAATAACAGGAAATGCTATTAATTTTGTGATAAATATTGTGTCCAAAGTCACATGCATGAAAGCTGTTTGGAATGGGATATTCCTCTTTATCAGACAGTGCCAACATGCAAACCTGTTCTCTGAAATATAAAGGGGGAAGGAAAAAATGTTATGCTACAAAGAAGTCTGGTAGCATTAAGGCAAGCAGTAGGGAAGAACCTTAATGAATTAATCTCATACTATTTTTGTGACCTCCAGGAAAACAGGTAGTTGTTGGCAGGCCTTGAGACTGCTTGACAAGTATACATTAAGCTGAATAATCTCATGCTTATATATCAGCGCTAGTGATCCCTAATGTTGGCTTGGTAGATGTTATAAATAATGTCAGTAATATTTTAACAAGTGATTTGCTTTTTTCTCATTCTTTTCATTTTACATCAATAACTCGAAAAAAGGAAATGGTAAATCAGTAAAAGACTCAGAAGTCACTAACATAAAGTTATCTCATCCCAGTTATAATGGCAGTTGATTTCTTCAGCTGAAATACTTGACACGCAAAGTGATCTTGTACCAAAGGATTAACATTGTTTTGCAAGTCTTTTAGAATTTTATATGTAATAACTTTTGGATTGAAAAGGAATAGAACACAAGCAAATAAGATAACATAGGAAAGTTATTATACGCAAGCTGAACTTCAGAGAATCAATTTTTCTCTATGCACATAAAAGAATATGCAATGAGTTGTTCTTACTCAGACATTAGTTCAATGCTCAGTGAATATTGTTTCAACTATAGGTAAAAGTTTTTAGTAATGAAAAGTGTTTTGTGTTGTAGTAAGTTATATACACTTTCCAGAAAATAAATTTCATTATGAAGACAAAACTATTTTTTAGTTTATGATTATGATATTCTTGCTATCAGGAGACCAAAGAATATATTTTAGTATCTTTTAAGGAGGGAGGAATATCTTTAGAATTTGTGAGGACATTTGAAGCTAGAAATATGTAGAGCTGTTCTTCAAAATAGGTGACTGCATATAGTGAAATATATGTTGCGAACAATTCAGTACAGTCTCTATTTTCTTGTTTAAGTGATTTGGTTTACTGTTATCAGAAAAATATTGTTAAACTTTGTAAAATTTCACACCATAAAACTGAAAGAATGTAAATACCATGGTATAGATCAGAAAAAAAGGGTATCCAATTCATTTAAGAGGACAATGTTTAAGGCTGTACTCAGTTGATAATTTAGAAAGTACAGCAACTGATTAAATCATAAAATAAAATGTTCAAGAGGCTTGACAGAGAAACCGCAGCCAACAACAAAAATATGTTACAAACTTTAGTGGATTTCTGTTATTAGTAGTTTGGGGTGGGGGGAATAGAGCAGAAATATTAAATAGCTGTTGATTAGGTAGATAGAGATTGTATGTGCACACTAGTTTGATCTAGAAACCTCTTTTTAACCCCTAAAGGATATTATACGGCAATCGTTATACTCAGGTATGTTTGCGACACAGGACAAGAAATGTAAAAAGTTGTTTTACCTTTCAGTTCAATGGCAGTTTTTCTGTCCTGTGGGCACAAATGGCTCTGACCTTTTCAGTCCTATAGGGGTTAATGTCTTTCATGAAAGAATCCACATAACTTTGCGATGTTTAGTGAGAATCCTGTTCTTTCCTGGATACTGAAATGATGTTAGGTAAATTGTTTTTAATTGGAAATACTATACTTTTTATCTTGATGTATATGTATAGATATAAAGTTTGTAGTACATCACCCCATCATGTGCCTAAAAACAGGATTTCAGAATCTGTAATTGATATAATGAATAATACTTGTGATGTAGAGTGGAGCTTCACTCATTTTTTAAATGACACCAGCTACTTGTTGCTGTTATTATTATTATTATTACACACACACACATACAATTTGTATAATATATATATATGTATATATATATATATATATATATATATATATATATATATATATATATATATATATATATATATATATATATATTATATACATAATATACATACACACACATGTGTGTGTGTGTGTGTGTGTGTATATGTATGTATGTATGTATGTATGTGTGTGTGTGCGTGTGTGTCTCTGTCTCTGTGTGTATGTGTAATATTGATATGTGTATATATATGTATTTGTATGTATATATACATATATATATATATGCTCATATATATTGTTATTTATATATATGTATTTATATATGTATATGTGTATATATATGTATATATGTATCTATATATATATATATATATATATATATATATATATATATATATATATATATATATATATATATATATATATATATATTTATATTTATATTTATATTTATATTTATATATTTATATATATATATATATATATATATATATATATATATATATATATATATATATATATATATATATATATATATATATATATATATATATATATATTTATATATATATATATATATATATATATATATATATATATATATTTATATATTTATATATTTATATATATATATATTTATATATATATATATTTATATATTTATATATTTATATATATATATATATAGTTATTTATACATATATATGTTTATTTATATATATATATATATATTTATTTATATCTGTGTGTGTGTGTGTGTGTGTGTGTTTGTATTTATATACATATATGTATATGTATATATATGTATGTGTGTGTGTGTGTGTGTGTGTGTGTGTGTGTGTGTGTGTGTGTGTGTGTGTGTATATGTGTGTGTGTGTGTGTGTGTATATATGTGTGTGTGTGTGTGTGTGTGTGTGTATATATATATATATATATATATATATATATATATATATATATATATATACATACACATATATATGTATGTGTGTGTATGTCTATATAATATATATACATATATACATATAATATATATATAATATATATATATATGTATATATATATATATAGATTTTTTTTTTTTTTTCATACAAAACATTGATAAAGCAGACTCAAATGTTACTTTTTAATGAAGAAGGAAGAAGTGTAATCTGTTCACTATTTAATCCCTTGTAAAATGTCTACCTTATATTTTGGAAAACTTATCAAAGTCACCCTGATATATAACATACATAGCCACCAAGTTTCTAACAAAAAACAAAAAAAAATGAATTAAAAAATTATATGCTAAAGGGTGCCTAGATATAAACCAGGGACCAGAGAAGTCTCTTGTACATCCTAAAAGATAATTTCTATTTTTGTAGGCAAGACACACCTCTTTGTAAACGTTACGATTGCTCATGTGTATATAAAACTAGAATTACCAAGCACTATGTATGGGTACGTAGTGGCATTTTTATCACTTTATCAGTAAAAAAAAGAGCAGATTCTCCTGTGATAAAATAATCAAAGTTTCTAGAAAAAAAAATGAGAATGAATATTGTACTCGAAAATTGATATGTGAATAGTTTGGTGTGTGTATTTAACCACAAAAGTGGCACAGAAATATCTAATTTTTTTCCAATGAAAGATACAACTTTTTTCAGATGAATTGTCTCTATACTTATATAAATAGCAGCATGAAATATATAAAAAAAAGAACTATAAGCAGACAAACATACAAAAATAAAAATAATAAATTTACCCTTGTGTGGTTTCCTTGCATAGAAAAATAAGGTTTGCCTAGTCAGTTCTCAATGTATCATATAAGGTATATAACATTAGTGATAATAGATCCTGAACAGTTTTATTTCTTTGATGTGTACTATAGTTGCTTCTTAATTGTTTGAATTTAGTAATAATTTGTGTGATAACCTACATACATTAATCATTTTAACTTGTCCTCAGTTAGTGGATACTTTTCTTATTTTTATGTAATCTAATGGCTTTAAACTGTTCCCTTAAAAATATAATATCAAGATGTTGGTGTATAGAATTGAAAAACTCATAATATTTTTTTCTTCCCTTTGTCTTCTTTTTTTTTCTTTTAAGTAAGGTGTCTTGAATTTCATGCACATTTATGTAGTGAAGTGCAACTTATTCTCTATTTCTTTTAAATCACTGCAGACTTATATTTGAATAGGTCATTGTGTATATGTTTTGTTTATATGTAAAATTATCTGTATGTAGAAGAAATAAGTAATGTAAACACTTGTCTTTCATTAAATGTGGAAGGAATTTCAAGCAGGGCTTTCCTTGTGACAAGATCACTACCGAAACACCAGCTTTCTTTCAAGTGATATAAAGTATAGTAAGTCACTTAGCAACTATGTAGTGACTGTATAATCCCACATTCTATGTTACCACAGTATTGCATTCACTTTGTATGTATGATATGGTGCATTTCTTGTAATTTTCTTAGACCTGTAGCATTGATATGTTAATTTTGTTTTGACCTTCTCCTGTATGTATTATTAGCTGTTGCTGGTGTATTTGTTAAATTCTTATTCATAGTTTAAAAAAATATATATATATTGCTTCCCATTCTATGTATGATGTATGATCTAGAGTACTGTGTATTTATTAATGAAACAGGCTTTCATAATTTACAGAATGTCTTTGGTAGATTTATGTGCATTTGACTACTGTTCTTGTAATACCTTGATAAATACTGTATATTATTTGCTTTAAAAATATTATGGCCAGTCATACCTGTAGCATTTGTTCAGTAAATGACTACCAGTAATGTCTTTTTCTTTACATCAAACTTTCAGAGTTGTTTTCTTTCATTGGTAGATATAATATACTATTTCTATAAATAGTCTGATTATATTTGTATGTTGAGAGAAAATTTTGAAATAAGTATATTCTTTATTTGATAATTGTGGTATACATTTGAAGTTCTCTTTGAGATAACTTTATACCATTTCTTTGGAAAAACAGAAGTCTTTTAAAAGAGTTTACAAAAGTGAAGACTGCTTAGCTGGAAATCTATATATTTTTTCTCTTAGAAAATACTACTACTGTTAATAACATTGAAAATAATTTCTTTTAATAAAATTTAATAAAACCTATATGGCACGTTATACATAAAGAAAAGAAAAATTGCAAATTCATTTCTCTACATTTCAATTATAACAATTAGCACACTAGACATTTCAGTAAATGCTAATACCATGACAAAACCATTAAATTAGCATCAAGTGGGAAATATTTAAACACTCTGCATTTATATACATATATATATATGTACCGTTATATAAATGTTTCTTTTCTTAAACATCAATATGGAGTATAAATCTAAGAATATACATTAGAATTGCACTTGCGATATTAGGAATAATTGAGAGAGAGATAGAGAGATAGCTAGAAGAGGAGAAGGCATGCTATGTCAGCATCTCCTCATCCAAACATCTCTTCCTTCCCTGAGAACTAGTATTGATCCAAGACTGTCTTAAAGTGGCCTGGAGTTTCTGCGTCTCCGTGATGTAGTCTGAGAGTTCATGCTCGGACATCGCAGGCAGAACACCTGGGATATAAACTGAAAATACCTGAAGAAAAAAATGTAATATTAATGATAATGGTGAAAAAATAGTAGATGATAAGAGGAGAGACAAGTGGAAAAACAGATTTTGGATTATTTTTCTCTTCCATTTTTCCCCTCCCATTTAAAAACTATGCCATATGAACCAAGAAAGATTATGGTTACATATTTACAAATATAAATGTATCAATGACAGACAAGAAACCTGCTCTGACAAGCTGAAAGATAGTAATATAATGGAAAAAAAACACACAAAAACACTGCAAATAAATAAACATCTGCATATCATATTTCACTAAAATACTGGTACTTGTAGAAATGGTATGAATGAGAATGAATATCTTCACAATACAAGAGATGTATTTGACCAGTTTTGATTATATCTTCGTCAGAAATACATGTATTTATGACAAAGATATAATCGAAACCGGTCAAATACATCTCTTGTATTGTGAAGATATTCATTCTCATTCATATCTTTTCTACATTTGTCAACATGAATACGGTTCATACTGGTACTTCTCCAGGACTACTAACCTGTGGATACGTCTGCGCATACGCTGGTCTTAACTTGTAAAGATTCTTGACAAGAGATGCTAAAACATGAGGAGCCACATAGAATGGTTTAGCTTCCGTTATATGTTTTATCAATGCTGAAACAAAATGTAGGAGTATGTATATGAATAGAGAACAATAAAATGCATAAAAAAAAATAAAAAATCAAAGCTTAAAAGTGAACATTAGTAAACTCATAACTAGTTTTCATTTAGAACCCAACTGCCATATTTCAAAAATAAGCTCCGGGGTCTCCATAATCTATTGAGAATATACAAAATATTTGTCTAAAGCAATACCTTTCCCTGACATTAAATGAGAATAACTTTTCAAAGAATGTAATAGACATGTATTGGCACTTACCCAATAACCTAGCTATAACGGGGTCAATAACGGCCGTACAAAATATCTTTTGAAGTTCTGTCCGTAGTGTTGATGATAATTTAGTTTCTACATACACCCTATTCTGTATGAAAGGAAAAAAAAATTAAACAAATATATAAATCAATCAAAATTCATTAATAATCATCAAACCTTACAATATACTGTAAAGCCACAAGATATTAGACAACACCAATATTTTACATTTTTTTCCCCATTACATGCCCTTAAGTTACGAAACAAGAAGAAATTATCGCACTTACCAGATATGTAAATATTGGAATGATACCATCTAAACTATACATGACCCGATGAATGAGAGAATAATAACTGTCAATAAGGTGAAGATCACCCACATCCTGGGGGGGAAAAAAAAAAAAAAATGTTAATCCTTATATATATATGATAAACAAAAGGACTTTTTTTCCCAATATCCAAAACACTGTTCACATTATAATAATAATAAATTGAGGGAAAGAGTGAGACACAAGGACATGGATATGAAAGAGAAAGAAAGAAAGAAAAAGAAAGAGAAAAGGGAGAAATAGAAAGAGAGAGAGACGGGAGGACGAGAAAGAGAAAAGAGGGAGAGAAGGGAGAAAGAGAGAAGGTTAAATGAGAAAGAGAGAAGGTTAAAAGAGAAAGGGAGAAGGGAGAGAGAGAGAGAGAGAAGGGAGAAAGAGAGAGACAAGAGAGAAGGTTAAATGAGAAAGCGAGAGGAGGGAGAAAGAAAGAGATATAAGAGAGAGAAGGGAGAAAGAGATAAGAGAGAAGGGAGAAAGAGATAAGAGATAAGAGAGAAGGGAGTATGTGTGTGCCTGTGCGTGTGTGTGTACATGCATGTATGTGTGTGCATGTGTGTACATGCATGTATGTGTGTGTGTGTGTGCATGCATGTGTGTGTATGTGTATGTGTCTGTGTGTGTGTGTACATGTCTGTGTGCGTACGTGTCTGTGTGTGTACATGCATGTGTGTGCACATGCATGTACCTATGTGTGTTCATCCTTATACCTCATCCCTACTTCCCCATTCCTCACCTGCATATCCTCCGCAACCTTGAGAAAATGCTTGTTTATATGCGAAGTGAGGTCATTATACAGTGCCTCCGAATACTGTTGGCACACGCACTTATAGGCTGCAGAATACATTGGCTCAAACTGTATGACAGGTCCCGTGTGTGGGGGGGAGGGGGGCCCTTGCAATAAACGATCGACAGCTTCTCTCAACTGCGGCCAGTAGGTGTTGCAATAATCTTCGTCTGACATACTGGTCATGGCTGCATTAGAAACCGGGAATGTGTACAATTAGATGAGCAATGATTGCAAGATGATAAAAAAATAAATAAAAACATAATAAGTAACTGATAATCATTAGATTAAAAAATATATATATAATTAGTAAAAATAAGAAATAACTATAACAAAATATCTATAATATCAAATGTTTTGTACACTGCCTAGCTAATATTAAAAAGTAAATGAAAAGAGATAAAATTTCCATGGTCAACATCAGTGTTATAAATCCTATATATAATATATTCAATAGATGTTGAGATGCATCTAGGAATATGAAACTAATATAAATAGTACCACTATTCATTGTAAACTAGCTTCTATGAGAAGGTTGATTTTGTAACTGTTAGATAGTTTGATATATCATTTAGCACTTTTTCATATAGACCTTTTCAAAAAAGCATCATGTAGACTATCTAAAAAATGGAATACAGTTGGACAAATACAGTAAAATACTACACATAATAACACCTTATTTCTTATATAAAACTGTATACTCCATTATTCTACATTATTTTAACTCATTTTTCATTTCCAGCTCTCACCCATATGGCAAGACAAAGTTTCAATGAGAGATACATTGATTAAAGTTGGGAGAAATATATACCATAATAAATACCATGTCCTATGATGAACATCATGCTAAAATAACAGAAATAAAATTAAAGAATTTATAAATACATACTTATCTATAATGTATTATTATAACATAACTTATTTATGAATAAAACATATTTATCTATAACTAAAGGTTATAACAAAAGGCTACCTTCACCAGTTTTTAAAATTCAGAGGAAATCCCACACTATAGCATCCGTTAACTCAATGCTGCTGGGGAAATGCTGTGCCCATCTTTCATTTTTTTTGTGAAATGTCTCTGCATAGATGGCTCTGTCAGTGCTTAGCCACAAAGGAGCTAATTGTGACCTTACCTAATTTCATCTTTCCTTGCATTGATGGGAAAAACGTTGAGTAAT